AAATGGCGTCTGGGTCCCAGGCTGTTTATGTCGTCCATAAGCCGTTTTACTGAAACGTAGAAGACATCATAAAAGAAGACTGCGAAGTGCTCACTGCTCATTGATTTGACGCGTGCTACCTTTTCCGTGCAGTCCTGCGCGCACACGCCACCGCTGACGAAGTCTGAGATTCCCGGAGGGATGATCTGAGTAGAGGAGACCATGTGGCCGGCGGTCACGACGGCCGCCTCCACTGGACGCAGCGCGCGCGTGTAGAACACCTCCAGGCCGCTGCTGTCCCTCACACCTGCGATAAACGGTCAGCCGTGTAAACGAGAGGAAGTAACGCTGATTGGCGACTACAGAGTACAGAGAGTACCGAAGCAAGAAATGTGTTATTATATCGATCCTCACTCAAGGCCAGGGGCTTAATCATCATAAGGCTTCACAGTTACATACCCACAATTATATTGAACTCGCATGCATCACCATATCTAATCTAAGTCCCCTAAATTATTCACAAAACCCGTGAAAAGTACGGCCTCTCTTTACGTTCTAGACCGACCTTTGTGCACCTGCGGGTTGTCGTAGTGCGTCTCCAGCATGAAGTAGGTCGATCCGCCGAACTCGGTTCCCAGTGGCATGCCGACGTCGTCGGGAAGCATGTCGCCCTCGGCACCGACCGCCCACACGATAAACACCGACTGGCACAGTGTCCAGCTGGGCGGCATGTTCTTACTGCAGGGACACGATCGAGGGAAAACGGTGAGGTGGTGGGACCAGGGTCCAGGCATGCTCTTGCTGTAGGGACACGGTCAAGGTAAAATGGTGAGGTGGTGCAGGCAGGGGAGTTCGGCTGGCGCCAGGCCTACCAAGTACCATGTATGGTCGAATTAGAATGTGTGGAAACGGTCACGGAGTCAAAGAACGAAGTCTCCCGTCGTTTGCGAAACAAATATCGATTATCGACTGAATACATGCGCGAATGTAATTAAAGATTGATTGATGTGAAACTTTTTTTTTAGCTTGATTATGATTATAATGGAAATCAGATGGAATACACCTTTTTGCACTACAAATCGGCATCTGGTCATTCAATTTCGACACTTTGCATTCAATATCGACAGAGCTACCTCCATTTTGACATACCTACCTCACACATTTCGAATTATTTCATCAATTTTAAATATCACCGGTTCATATTCGATGTGTTCGGTCAAATTTCGACAGGGGCATAGAATTTCGACAATGGTCAGCTGTAAATGAAGAACCGCATTTGACTTTGACATTTTACACTCAATTTAGACAATGGTTGTTTTGCTTTTTTATATGTAGTAACCAGCTCATAATTAAAGTAAGCTAAAAACAAATCCAAAATATATTTTCGGTGCTGGACCTTCTTCAGTGGAATGCTGATTCCACAATGACTCCACTACAGAAGGTCCAGCACCGAAAATATATTTTGGATTTTTAGACTACCTTAGTTATGAGCAAAAGGTTACTATTCCTTCTGATTTCCATTAGAAGGTAATTAAAAGCGCTTATTCTAATAACGTGTTGTTTTATTCATAAATGTGTTCTCGCTGAGCATCGGCATGGGGCGACTCCGTACGAACCTGTAGCACTTTGAGCCGGGGTGACTCCGGACGTAGTTCTCGAAGACGCCATGAGCGCTGGGCGGCAGTGCGCAGGAGTACATCACAATGTGGTGCACATACCGGGCGGTGGCCGGGTCCAGACGAACGCGGTACTGTAAACGCAGGGGATCTAGTCAGCAGGCCTGCACGTGCCAGCGGCCGGGTCCGGGTCTGACGTCACAGGACCGGAGACCGGCCCCGAGTCGTCCCTGCTCGGTATGCTCCGCACGGCACGCATTGTCTGAGATGTGACACTCGCACACAATGGGCCCCGGTGTGTCACTGCATTTATACGAGTGAGGAATGTGGGAGACTATTTTCCACCTGCAAGCTCTTTGGCAGACACAGAGATAGAAACTTTGAGGTAGTGATAGATTCGTTACCTTATGGGCGGAGTGTTTAGATAAAGAAATCGCTGCAGTATGTCACTCCAGTACCTATGTGTAGAAAAGGGTCAAAGTACTGACCTACGTCGAGCAGAAACCCGGTGTGACCTACGGCTCCACGACTCACCCCCGTGTAGTGGACCTTTCCGCCGAGGTCGGGCATCTTGTGGATCTCGCAGTGGTAGTGCGTGCTCTCCTCGAGCACCTCTGTGTCCGTGTTGCGGATCAAAAACGACTCCGAGTCGGTGGGAAACTCGAAGGTGCCAGAGCCGTCCAGACTGACGCTGCGCACACCGCGCCGCGAGCCGTGGTAGGACGGCCCGCCAGCGCCCGGGTCGGACGGGTGCAGCGCCCAGATTAAACGAGTCGTGTCCACCTGAAAACAGCGGGAGTCGGGAGATGGTTTATGGGAGATGGCCGTGAGTCCCAAGCTGAGAAACAGAAACGTGCACGCAGACTGAAAGGAAACGTTTCACGTCTTTTTACCGCACTTCTTTCTACCTTAACTTTAGAAATGAATAAGGACAAAAACATATGTTTTACATTGTTATCAGATCATTTATGTTTGTTATGACCAATTCGAATTTGCTGCGTGTTGAACAAGGCATCTTTTAGTCATTACAACGCATCACCTACTTCACAGCTCACGCCTCACCGTTCATCTCAGTTCCCTACGCGAGTTTTGATATGATCCGAGACGTCGCGAAGGATATTATACATCGTAAACAAAATTCGATCCATCCAGTCACATCCGGTTGGTGCCGAGCTGCCGTAAACTGTAAAGTCACCACCCGCCACTCACCCCCAGGTCAAGGTCGTGTTCCTTATCGCATGAGCGCAGGGGCCGCTGGAACGTCACCACCGTGTGCGTCGAGTTCTCGTAGCCGTCCAGAAGCTTCACGTTATTGCTCTTGTCAAGGATCGGAGCGCTGTTTGACACGGCGTGCATGTCCTGTGTGACAGACGTGTCAAGGAGGTCAGCTGACACGCCGCGTGGGTGCATCTGGCGCGTCTGGCCACACTGTATCAATACTACGCTCGAGTTCACTCGAACTATAAACACCAGGTCGCTAATACGTTCACCTAGGATTTCGCCAGACTTCATCGGTTATTAGTTGATTATTAATTGCGTATTTTTGACCATCAGTTGCAATTATTGTATCCTGTGGCCTGCTTATCTGCATGAACAATGTAGCGAGCCTATAGTTTTATAATTAAATAGATAAATGAAGTTGGCCTTTCCCTCGACATTAAAAATGTACAAACCGAATAGCATGTTTTGAAAAACGGTGGGCTTTCGGCCACTGGCCTTTATCAAACCAACGTGATAGCAATGTTCAAAGGTGATCGCCTTTGAACATTGTTACCTATCACGTTGAACTGATAAAGGTCTGTGACCGAAAGCTCACCGTTTTTTTTTTTCTTCAAAATTTACTTTTTGGTTTTTACATTTTTATTATCGAGGAAAAGGTCAACTTCCTTTATCTATTTAATTATATTCAATATGTTCCTCGCTATAGAGGACTGAACAACACAACAGTGTTATTTATTGAATTTAAGTTTTCTGTCGAACAGTCCAAATGCGCCCAATATTAGAAGGGCTCATTATCCTCCTTCTGGTCTGCGGTAATCGTGAGTCAGGCACCCTACTCCCTGTGACCTCCCTACGCTTGAGGTCAAATGACATCATCAGATGTCATGTGATGTCTCCGGCTAATGTTTTTATTTGCATACGATATAAACGCTAACGTTTCTTTTTTATCCTCTTTTTGTCGAGAAGGTCGATTAAAATGCGGCAAGATCATTCATCCAACTTACTGCCCTGACCTCGGGTCAAATTTAACCGATAAGGAGACCCCAGAAAATAGAAGAACATAGGACGGTAGTACAGTAGGGGAAGTTGGGGCAATGCCGGAGTTGGGGCAAGGCCGAAATTCGAGATATTTCGAAAACCGTACGACATGGATGCCACCTGTCAGTGATGCTCTGAAGCTTAAGTGACTACCAATTATCGCATGTTTGTTACCAGTCGTCATTCGGAATACTTCGGCTAGAGGTGGCAAAAGATGAAAATTGTGGGAACCAGACTCGAACCAACCAGACCCGGCTGGACATTTCTGGAACCAGTCGGACCCGGTCTTAGTTGGAATCGGAACCAGTTGGACCCGTTCCCCAAAAGACAATTAATACAAACTACTTGTAGGTATCATTAGTTGCATCATGTAAAACAGCCTATTTCCCACTGGGAATAGGTACTCATGAGATACTGTGTGCAAAGAAACATTCACTTCATATTTTGCGGTAATGTGTAGTGTGCAAGATGTATAGTTAATGGTAGGACCCGGTTGGACCCGTCAGAAAAGTTCCAGGACCCGGTCTGGACCCATATGGGTCCAGGCTGGTTCTTTGGACCGGGTCCTCGGGTCCACATTTTGCCACCTCTAACTTCGGCTGTGAGGGCGCCAAGAGCGTTTTCAAGGTACGTTTCCTTTGTACTACATGCGTCTTCGAAGCTGCATTTCCTACTCATTATGCTACCGTTTGTCTGGCCAATTCGGTCAAGTAATCTTCAGCACGTCTTTGCATAAGTGTGCTGCCTATTTGAAATTTATACAGCACGTTGAAAAGTTATGGGCCTGCAAATAAAAGTATGGCTGGCTGGGGTAACGCCGAAAACGTGCAATTACGCGCGTTAACCCGCGACCTGGTGGGGGGGGGGGGCTATTTTTTGCCCCCCCCCCCCAGACTTTTCGATATATATCCAGAACCGCTGCGCCGATCGTCACCAAACTTTCAGTACCCTCCCGGACATCAATTTTACACGTTGTGACCAATTTTTTTTCCAAAGGCTATGATAGGTTGGCCGGAAATGACGTCAGAGTGACGTCTTGTTCTGCCGTTTTCGACCCAAAAAAGGGTTTCGCGGGAAGAGCTGTCAGGCCTCACTGAGAAAAAAAAATTACCACCCTATGGAAACTAACCCTTTTATTCGGGATAAGACTCATGCCATACTCAGGTAAACTAACGTATTTACCAACGATGCCTTAGTTCGTTCGTAGCTCCTGCGATGATGTGAGGCAGTACTCATCGATGCTTGGTATTTATGCTCAGGATCATGAGTATGTGGTTAGTAATCTAGCCGTGAGTAGGCTTCCAGCTCGCTGATTGGTTGAGCCGATGTGGCACAGCCGCGCACGTTTCGCGCGCGTCTGCCATTATTTCAGTTGAATTTTGTTGCTTGGTGGTGAAAGTGCGTCGCTCGCGTGTGCAGCATTTTATTGACTTGGTGTGCAGAAACTGAAACTCGGATTCCGAGGCCAATAGTAAGTATGTTCATATACTTACCTTATTAATATTTATTATTGATCAATGACCACAAGCGCAATTGTGTGTCGCGAGGAAATAGGCATATAAGGTACCGTGAGAGATGAGGGAGATGTGAGAGCACATCTCCGAAGAGAGATGTGCCCTAAAGATAGGTAATTAGTGAAGATTTGTGCTTTGTAGGTGTTATTTTAATAATGGAATGCGTATTTGACGATAGTCAATGCTTTTGTTCTATGAAAAGTTTTGATGATTAAATACGTGAAAATATTATGTAAATATTTTATCCGCTGGGTTCCTCTGGGTTGTGTTGGATATATTAACCCGCGCCGTGCTGGTGGCCTGAACTTTCCGCCGAGTGCTGGGGGGGGGGGGGCGTTTTCACGCCCCCCCGTCTAACTCGGCTCCTGGGCCACGTAGCGACATGCGGTAAGCGGCAATCGAAAGAGTGTCAAAAATAAGGACGAAAACACTTCGGTCATTTTTTGGGTCAGGTCAAAGGTCAGGTCACCAGAGGTCACCAAAGGTAAAATGTTGACTATTTCAACATTTTGGAAACTGCCAACGGCTATCTCGGGAACCGATAGAGCTACAGCGCCGCGGAAAAGCGCATTCGATAGCCCTTTTACAGATCTTTCTGAGTAATGTTCTCAGATTTGACCTCAGGTCAACGGTTTAGCCTCCAGAGGGCAAAAACTCCAAAAATAGCCGTTTTTACGAAAAACGTTTTTTCGTCAATAACTTTTGACTCATAAGCGCCATGACATTACTTTTGCCAGCATCGTGTTCCTCTCGTCGAGACGCGCCGAATGAACTATTTGTTGACCTTGAAAGGTCATTTTGAAAATTTGACCTCAGGTCAAGGTCATGACCTGACCGAAAAGGGTCATGTTGCATATCAGTCGATCCGTATCGTCGAGCTGAACACATCTGACGTGTTTTCACCGCTCTAGCACGTCTCTATCAAAAGTTATAGCCAAAAAACTGCTGGCGACCGTTCATGACCTGAGATGACCTCAGGGGCACACAGAGGGGTCACAGGTGCATTTTTCCTATTCAGTGTGTCATGTTTACCTATGAACCGATGTTTGAGAGCGTTTTGAACGATATTCGTCCAAAAGAGGCGCATTTCAATTTTCTCCCATTGACTTATAATGGAGAGGTCGCAAAATTGACCTGACCTTAGGTCACAGATATCAAAAATCCGAGATATACATTTTATACATACTGTTACTCATATCAATCGCTGAAAGTTTCAAAGTGATCGTTCAGTCGGTGTAGCTATAGCGAGCCTTTGAACTTTTTCTGAGGTAAGGTCACTTGACATGACCTGGTGACCTAACCTTGAACGGCCTAGGTCTGAAATTTTCACAACATGTGCGGAAATGATGTAGGAACACGTGTACCAAAAACGGTGGCGCTGCGCGCCGCCGTTTTTGAGATATTCGCGAAAAACCTGAGGGGGGGGGGCGTAAAAACGCCCCCCCCCCCAGCACGGCGCGGGTTAAGGTAGGGAAGTAGTTTTTTTTTTTTCAAAAATGTGTCATAAAAATATACCGACTGTATGACTCCTTTCACAGTTTCTTTTGGATATACCATCGCACTGCCGGGGCTGGTGCCGGTGCAGACGCTCGCCCCGATCGACGCCGGATGCTCGCCGCCGGGTGGCTTCAGAATGTGAAGTCTGCCTGCTCCTGTTCGATAGGTACGGAGATCTATAGCTCATCTTAACAGGTTCCTAAAATGTTACTACCTATATTTTTTTTTTTTTACTTCTTTCTGTATCTTGCGATCACAGTGTCAGTATATAAAATATAATTATGCCATCTGCATAATTTACCGCGGCATGCTTTGCAAGCAAAAAGAAAAACACTAGCCGTTTTCACAACGGGTTATTTCACGACGAGTTTTTTCGATATACCTACCTATCTCCAGAAGCGCTGCGCCGATTGTCACCAAATCCGATACAAAGCCGATCGTGTTTCTTCATTAATATAGAAAATATTATTTTTTTGTAAAAAAGTTTTATTTTTTTGCTGATCATTTTGAGCATAAAAAATCATAAATCCATTGACAAAAACTAATTTCGTGAAAGTGAACTATTCCCTTTAACACACCTCGCCGATGTCTTCTGAAGTTTTCGCTTTATTTCTTAACAGCTTATTGTTTTCGGTCCATAGGTAAAGTTTCGGAGACACTGGTGCGTTTTCTGGAAACTGCAGTCTCAAGGATGGCGACGGAGAAAGTGCGCCCATGGTCTTCCATGCCCTCGCGCTACTGAGCCAGAATACCAGCAGCCAGCACCCTTCGAGCTACAGTGCGCCGATCTCGCGGTAGGAAGCGGTTCAAAAACTAAGCGATCTCGCGCAGTGTTTGCAATCTATGGGAGTGTTTCATTGTTTTTTTTTTTTTTTTACGGACCTCTTTTAGTGTTGTGTTTAACGGATTGCGCCCCGTACCCGGCTCTTGAATTGCATGTTGGCAGAGATGTCGTATGATGGGTTTTTGTAATAAACTTCAGTGTTTTTCCTCGTGTTTGTCACGTCTGCAAGGCGTAAGATTAACGAACGCATTTTTGGTTTTATGCGTTGGCATCCGCGTTAGTAAGACCCATCTTAAATGGGTTAGTAGATATATTGGACAAGTATATAGTACAGAGCAAGTAGACTATGAATGTATTAAAAAGCAATTACATATAATTAAGCGGACCGGTTTCGTCTATGAAAGACTTCTTCAGCGCTTTTTCAAAAACGTATAACAAGAAAACTAGCACAGTGACAATCGTTTTCCGATTTTATTTCAAACGATTGTCACTGTGCTAGTTTTCTTGTTATACGTTTTTGAAAAAGCGCTGAAGAAGTCTTTCATAGACGAAACCGGTCCGCTTAATTATATGTAATTGCTTTTTAATACATTCATAGTCTACTTGCTCTGTAATATATAAATGGGTTAGTATCATGGGTGGAGAACCTGCCCCGGCCACCCCGGCCGTGGCCGGGGTAACTTTCAGCCTACCCCGGCGCGGCCGGGGTAACTTTTCCACTCTTGTAAATCCTAAAAGCTGTCGCCATACGAGAAAAGAAAACTGTCGTTTTTCGGATGTTGACTGCCATGGGCGTAATACTGCAAATCAGGAAGGTATTTACAGTATTTACACTATATATCTACAGGTACTCAACTAGGTACTCAACTTACCATGCGGTGGCGTTGAGCCCTAGGACCCGCGTGTGGTTGCCAATGCCAAGATTGCTCTCAAATTGTGTTCAGTTTCGAAAATTTGGCGCGGCTTCGGCGCACTTTTTTAGAACCACTGCTTGACCTCACTGCCTTCGACTGGCCTGCCACAAACCGCAACCATATACCGTCAGGGCGTATAGCCGTCAGGATGCTCATACACCGAGCGTCCGTCAAGCTTCAAGCTCGGACTGTTGTAACCGGAACGCGTGTTCTCGCCACCCGGAGTCCAACGCTCAAGCGATTGAGCTGCGAGACCGGGACCGGTCGATATTCCTGAATAGGCTCCCTGTTTGTCTTATAAGAGGTTGAGCCACCCAACATTGAAAAAGACTGTGTCCCTGGATGTCAGTGACCCATTTTAGTGCTTTGGTTCGAACGTTCAATTTTCTCTGTAAAGCTCCTACGAGGTGAGCTGTCATCTTTTTGTAGCTATTTTGAGACACAATAAAAAGCTGAAAACGCAACATTTACTCATAATGACTCATGATAGGTATGGTTTGGATATGTTGTGAAATTGCATAAGTTTAAGTAAAAAAATCACTTAAAAGAAAATCGCCTTTTCAATCATCGCCAACAATGTTATGAATGATACAATGTCGGATACAACGCTCACCCTTGAACAAACACAACGTCCATTATCCCATTTCCATGGGTCAGAATAGGGGTTTGTTAATGATGATCGTTGACAACAACGTGAGCTTAGTCGTCTTTCCGACTATCGGTCGCCGGCCGGGGTAACTTTTTCAAACATTCTCCACCCATGGTTAGTATTATCATTATTCAGAGTTGGTTATCGTTAGTATTAGCCTGAGTAAGTGTGTGGTCCACCTTGGTAATACTGTGGGTAGCGTCTTAGTAGAAGCTCAAACCTGAGTACTTAGGTGGTGAGTTTTGACAACTCACCCGGAATACTCACGTTATGTATGAGTCACGTTAGTGTTAACATGAGTATCTCCTGAGTACCAAAGAGTAGTTGCCAAGGGAACCTGAGTAGTTGCCGTCGTGAGTTTTGACAACTCAGTTTGGGGTGGTAACGTGAGTAATTTTTTCTTTCAGTGCTATAGCTTTGCAAATACAGAAAAATGATGAGGACATAAAAGCTGTAGAATTGATAGGGCTACAAAACTGTTATCTCGGATTTTTGATTTTTTTGTTTTTGACCCCCAAAAATAAAAAAAAACAAATTTGTTGGATAAAATAGTCGAAAAATCCAAAAAGTTTTTTGAATTTCGCAAAAACCGGAACAAATGTGATAGTCCTTACCGCCTTCCATCCACATACCAAATTTGAGATTGATACCTCTTTTTTTGGCGAAGTTATAGCGAAAAAACTGTTCAAAATTGATGACGTCAAATTTTCAAACTCAATTTTTAGCAATTCTAGACCCCGTTGCGCAAAACAAAGACCACCATTAGACTCCCCGTGACGAGCTGCATCGAATCAATACCCATTTTATGCAAAACTATCAACGTTAAAATTTGACCTTTTTTGGCCTGACCTTGACCTGACCTTGACCTGACCTTCACCAGAAAGTGACCTAAGCCGTACCTGATAGTCTTATAACCAACACCATTGAGTTGGAAATGAAAAATTGGTCATAAAACATGCATCACACAACCTTAGTAAAGTTGGGTTCATGTGACCTGACCTGTGACTCTTGGTGACCTGACCTGTGACCTGACCTGGTATTGTCAGTGACCTCTAATAGCAACATATCTACTAGGCAACTGACGCCCTATCGCTGATTCTCGACAAAATGCGTTTTCCTCGGTGTTATAGCGCATGCCCTAGAAGACCCGTGAACGGTGAAACATTTCATCTTTGACCTGACCTGTGACGTCATCGGTGACCCCGAGGTCAATGAAATTTGGTTTCCCTCATTAAATTTGACAGACCTTTCGAATGCGCTTTGAATTTTGCGGATCCGTCCAGTAGTTTCGGAGATACGGGGGGGGGCAAAAAATAGCCCCCCCCCCCCCCCAACCAGGTCGCGTTATAAACAGACCCCACCAGGGCGCGGGTTAAAGCACGCTGCGTGAACTTTACCGCTGTAGAATAGCAACGCGTATTTTTAGTTACACAAATTACACTTTTAACCGACACAACGGCCTGTTACCATAAGGAATGATTTACCTGGCCTTTTCTTATCATATCACACAATTATAACTTCCAGTGTGCACCAAGCGTCCTCCAGCTCTTAAAACGCGTGTCAGCTTTGACGAATTCTGGATAAAATTTGAGATAAAATATCAAAACATCAATTTCGGCATTCCCGTAGATCATTTCTCCCATTTTCGGCTTTCCCCGCAGTCCGGGGCAACGCCGAAAAAGTCACTTCTTTGATATTTTTAGTTTGTGCGCTTAACGGTATGCGAATTCATCAAATGCGCCTGGTATGTTTGAGAGGCAAAAGACTGGCCTCTCGAATGACGCCAACAAGAATAGCTTATGTTGTCTACCTTGCGTGCTACGGGCGTCAGAAAAAAAAAGTATTCGGCGTTCCCCCAACTTCCCCTATGTACCTACTACTTATATTGCTAGGGTTTCTTGGAAGCAGTAGCTGACCTTAGGCGAAGTTGACCGGAATTGCGGCTGGTCGCACGAGGTCTACAGAAACCCTAGACAGCAGTGTTCGTTACCTCTGCTGCGTTAAAGTCGCTGGCGCGCGAAAGGGCCTCACCGGTAGGTATCCCGTATACGGTATATCGCCGCCCGCGTAGCTGATAAGTGCATAAAAGTAATGTCGAAACTCGAAACACTATTGTTATTTGGAATTTTTACCTTTATTGACCCCAAAAGCTGTACCTATATGGAACTGAACCAACAAATAGGCTGAAGCATTTTCGTCTTTCCCAACTATTTTAAGCTGTCGAACGCGGCCGTAACGCCACAATCACTTCTCGCTACCTGACCTTGGATAACTCGATCTTCTACCAATGAGTGAGAAAAGTAGACGTCCAGAACTGTCAGGGGGTTACAGGCTCATTACCCAATATGTGGTGAAATGTGACTAGGCCAGTCATTAATGCGCTGCCAGGCGCGGATTCTGGTCCAGGCGTTGGAAGTAGGTATGTGAGACCAAAACATATCGGCTGCACTCTCATAAACACAGATTAAACAGCCAACACTGCTGCTATGACTAGGCAGAATTCACTGTTTCCGCCTTGGACAAAAAACAAACTGAGCGGAAACCAGACGAGATATCATGCTGGATGTCTTCCACGGCTTTTTCCACAGGTTTTTACAGTATAGGAGTTACTTATCAGCTCGACTCGGAAACGACCGACGGGTGTCAGAATAGCGAATGTCAGATGCTGGCGCACTGAAGAAACGTGCGGTTTGTAAGCAAAACGTCACCGTGTATGCACATTGCACGCACAATGACCAATGTACTATGTACATTGTATGTACAAGCATGAACGTGCCACGAAAGGCAAAAGGAATCGGGTCACATGCTGGTAAACGTGAGAAGCCAAGATATCCCTAAACTAATAGAAAGGACAGGCCTGGAGTTAAATCAACCATTTCTATTTTTAGATAGACCCGTAGATAATCAATGGGCGTTCATTCTCCCGTGAGATCGGTAAAAGCCCATCACCAAGGGCGCGGTCCTTCACTAAGCTTGTGATCGTCATCAGACTTGGCTCGTGGGCTCGGGGGACTTGGACGGACCCGGGGATGAAAAGAATCCGGAAGAATGGCACGCACAAGGCTTCGGTTGAAATTCATGAGCTTCGGTCAGCTATTTTACGTCGGATAAAGGGCGAATACCGGGGAGATTAAAGGTCGCCGGTCCGGGCCACGCTTCCCTCGTCCCCGTGTGCTCAAACCACTGAGGTTCAAAAGGACAGCTCAGTGACCTTGGCATGACCTCTGAATCATCGCGGCCGTGAGAGACCGTCGATCGGGTGCGAGCACGATGACGAGCAAGGGGAGATATTCTGCTAGTACCTACGTCTACAGTGAACATCGTTCCGCCTTGCAAAATAATGCACGAAATAACCCTTAGTTGTGATACAAAAATGCATCGTGCTTCTAATGCAATAAATGTACCTATGTATTATGCGGGTACACTGGC